TCTCCCTTCTTATTCCTCTTCCTCCATTCTTTATATGTTAGGTGTTTTATTCTGTACTCTTTTGTGTTTCCTTTGACGGCTTTTGTAGATAGTTTATTTTTTTTTTGCCTATAGTTAGTATTTGGTTGGTCTACTTTCTTTGCTGTGCTTTTATTTTCTCTGGTGACATCTATTTAGCCTTAGGAGTGCTCCCATCTAGAGCAGTCCCTTTAAAATATCCTGTAGAGGTGGTGTGTGGGGGCAAATCCCCTCAACTTTTGCTTGTCTGGGAATTGTTTAATCCCTCCTTCAAATTTAAATGATAATCGTGCTGGATACAGTATCCTTGGTTCAAGGCCCTTCTGTTTCATTGCATTAAATATATCATGTCATTCTCTTCTGGCCTGTAAAGTTTCTGTTGAGAAGTCCTATGGTAGCCGAATGGGTTTTCTTTTGTAGGTGATCTTTTTTCTCTCTCTGGCTGCCTTTAATACTCTGTCCTTGTCTTTGATCTTTGCCACTTTAATTACTGTATGTCTTGGTGTTGTCCTCCTTGGGTCCTTTGTGTTGGGAGAGCTGTGGGCTTCCATGGTCTGAGAGACTATTTCCTTCCCCAGCTTGGGGAAATTTTCATCAATTATTTATTCAGAGACACTTTTTATCCCTTTTCCTCTCTCTTCTTCTTCTGGCACCCCTATAATGCAAACATTGTCCCAGTTGGATTGGTCACACAATTCTCTTAAATTTCTTTCATTCCTAAAGATGCTTTTATCTCTGTCTACCTCAGCTTCTCTGTATTCATGCTCTCTGATTTCTAGTCCATTAACAGTCTCCTGCACCTCATCCAGTCTGCTCTCAAGACCTTCTATCGATTGTTTCATTTCTGTTATCTCCCTCCAGACTTCATCCTTTAGCTCTTGCATATTTCTCTGCAGGTCCATCAGCATGGTTATGACTTTCATTTTGAATTCTTTTTCTGGAAGGTTGGTTATATGTATCTCACCAGGCCCTCTCTCTCAGGTTGTCTGAGTGATTTTTGACTGGACCAGATTCTTCTGCCTTTTCGTGCTGATAGAAGTGGTTGCAGGCAGGTGGCGTGTGCATCAGCTGGGAGAACAAACTCTGGGATAATCTCCTGAGCTGCCATGGGCGGGGCATCCTTGGGATTGCCTAGGGCACTGAGGAGGGTCGCCGAAGTGCAGGGTGTGTTCTCCTGTGAGAATGGTGCCCCTTCATGCCTTCCAGACCTTGCTCTGGCTTCCTCTGTCTGTGCCGGGCAGCTGCGCACTTGGAGGAGACTGTGTGGTTGCTGTGGGAGGGGCTGTTCTCCAGCTGCTCCACAGCTGTGGTGGGTCAGCTGGTTTGCTTGCAGCACTGGCCAGGGGGAATGAATGGCCGGCTGCTTATTGCCGTGAGCTTTGGGGCTGCATTACCCCCCATGGGGTTAGGGTGCCTAAAGTTCTTTAAGATTCCCAGCCTGCTGGACTGAGTGTGCTGTGATGATTTTGTCCAGCTGTTAAGCCCTTGTCCCTTTAAACTTTTAAAAAGCACCCACTTTTCTTTTGTCCCAGGGGAGCCAGCTGTGGGGACCCGGTCACAGTCTCCATCTCAGATTTTACTTTTCTGTTTCTCTAAATCCAGTACACCATGCAATGTGTGTTTGTGCTCCTGGGGCAGATTACTAGGGCTGGTTATTTAGCAGTCCTGGGCTTCCACTCCCTCCCCACTCTGAGTCTTTTCCTCTCGTCGGTCAGCTGGTGTGAGGGGAGTGCTCGGGTCCTGCTGGGTTGCGGCTTTGTATGTGAGATGCTCAGTTCTCGCAGGTGTGGATGTAGCCTGGCTGTTGTACTGTATCTTCTGGTCTCTCTTTTAGGGATAGCTGTATTTGTTGTATTTTCAAAATATATATGGTTTAGGGAGGACATTTCTGCCACCCTACTCACGCCGCCATCTTGAGCCCCTTCCAGATTTGATTTCTATAGTGATCTCATGTGTGTGGTGAGGACTTGTGTGTGTGTGAAAGAAAAGCACAGCTGATTCACCTGCTGATGTAAAAAAGTCACACTGGCGTAAGGCCAGCAGTTTAATCTTGAACCTGCCACTTAAAGTAAGGTCTAGTGACTTCACTGACCTGCCCTGTGGTGGCAGAAGGGACGAGGTGCAGTTGAAGCAGGGAGTGTCATGCGCAGGCGGGAGTGCCCAACCCTCAGAGCCCATTCTTCATCTGGGCCGGAGGAATCTGGGGTCCCACGGGCTGGGTACCAGAAAACTTACAGTGACCATTTCACCCACTTCTACCAAGTGTAGAAGGCTCCAGGAATGGGGTTGTGGGGCAGGACGGGGAATGGAACATAGAACTCTGTCCTCTTCTCATCAAGCTATAAAGTGAAGATGGTAATTAAGCCTGTTCTCACTGGGCTGTCATCAGGAGAATAAAGAATTTGAAAAATTAAAAGGACTATATAAATGTAAATTGTTTGTTGATTCAAAGGCTGTGTAGCCCAGAACATAGAAAATACTTGTAGGACTGTTTGTTGCTTGACCGTTGAATCTAAGGGGACCTAAGGAAGACATTTAAATTGGTTCACTTCTCTCATTTTACAGATAATAAGACTAAGGCTCACAGAGATTCATGATTATTTTATATCCATTCCTTAGGAAAGACCCGGCAATTAGGGCTGGGATTTGTTATCAGCGTTGTGGAGAGGCCTTTGAGTCCCCTGCCTTTGGAGGCTTGGGGCTGGTGAGATTCCATGTCGGCCTATCCCAGAGCCAGTGGAAAAGACAAGCCTCTGGAGATGCCTTCTGTCCCTTGGGCCCCTCAGAGCTCCCAGCCAGCTGGTGATGTGGGAGGATGTGGAAGGGAACTGAGGGGCTCCAGGAAGGCAACATCTGTCTAACCACGTGATGCTGGTGCCAGAGGAATAGGGGCGGGGGCAGTGGATAGAGAGGGGCCCAGGTTATGTTTTAGTGGGCAAGACAGAGACTGTAACTTGGAGGAAGAAAGACATTGGCTGTGCAAAACGGGAGGAAAAATCCAGAAGGGAGGTAGAGATAGTGTAGACAAAAGTGCAGAGACATCCATTTACTTAATAAACATTTGTTGAGCACCTGGTGTGCATTAAGCACTGTGCAAGGCCTCGGGGTCACATAAACAAACAGACTAAGCTGCTCTCAGGAGAGTTAGTATCAGGTGGCTTTCAGGGTGGAAACGGGAAGGCACCCTAGCCCGTGCTCCGGGGCTGAGGGAGTGAACTCAGCCTGTCTCCCTGTTGCCCTGGAGGCCTGCCCCCCAGCCCTGCTCGTGTATTCCTGCCTTCGCCTCCTGTGAGGAATGCCAGGGATGGCAGCCCCTTGGCGCTGGGGAGGTCTTGCCTCAGCTGATGCAACTGGGGCCCCTTGCATGTGCACCGATGACCTGCCCGGCTGGCCTTCCTGCAGGGGAGGGGCAAGCGTCCCTCCACGCAGGTGTCAGGGGAAGTCTGGCTCAGCAGCTCCTCCCTGCCAGGCTCTCCAGCTGGGCACTCGTGGCCACTGGGAAAACCTGGCCTACGGGAAAGACGCAAGAGATCACTTGGCTGGACATTTGGCAGGCCCGGCTGAGCGCGTGGCAGGGAGGGGCACGCTCAGCCTTCCTTCCCGTCGCAGGAGGCGGCAGGGGGAGACCCACTCTGCTCCTCGGTGCCCAGACCTTTGCCTGGAGCCTGGCACACAGGGCACACCCAGATGCTGTGCAGACGAAGGAGTTACACATTAAATGTGTCTCAGAGAGCTGATCAGAGGCTCCGTGAAGAGAGAACGGAGATTGGCTCGGCGCTCCTGCTGGACTTACACCTGCCTCCCGCTTCCTTCACTTACCTCACACTCCCTACTGTGTGGGCCTGAGGAAGAAGCAGGAGCAGAGCTGGGCTGGTTCAAGGAGCTGGCAGAGGGCCCAGGAGGCTGCAGCCACCTTAGGGGAGATGAGTGTGGTGGGTAAGAGACATACACGCAGGGCTGGGGACGGCAGGGGAGGAAATGCCAGCCCCAGGTCTCTGCCGCCGCCCTCCCAGCTCCCTGTTGGCGGCTCTGAGTCGCTCTCCTTGCCCTTTTCTCCCTCCTCTCTCCAAGCCCGTCCTCTCTCCTGTGCTTCAGGCTCGTCATTGCAGTTGCCTAATGACATCACTGCTCCTACAGAGGTCACAGGCGAGTGCACAACACTGAAAAGTTTAACTCCACACTCCCACCTCCACCCGTCTGCTTAGGGGGTGGGGTTCAGCTCAAGGCAAACGTTTGTTTTCCTTGATGACCTCCTTTCGCTTACTTCTTACATCTGTCAAACACAGAGTTCTGTCCATTGTGCCTCCTAAAGTGATTCTTAAATCCCTTTCTCTTGCCTTCATCACTTCTAAACATGAACTTCTGCAAACAGCTCCCTGACTTGGTTTCTGCAAGCATCCCATGCCTCTTCCATCCAACCTTTGTGGCCTCAGGATGATCGTAGGATATAAAGCTGATCGCTTCACCCCACCACCCTACACTTCCAAGTTCAAAACCCTTCGATAGTTCTCCATGGTCCATGAGCTGAAGTCCATGTGCATGGCAGTCAATGGCGTCCCTGTGCCAGCCTTGGCCTTCCGTCCCATGGCTAGGCTCCTCCACTCCCTCCCAAAGCCCACAAGCCCCCTCAAGTCACCCGTGCCCGGTGACTTCCATACAGAAGACCAGGGAAAGACCCACAGCCCCCACCTCCAGGCTCCCTCACCTAGCACAGCCTCAGCGTGTGTCAGGAGGGAGTAAGCCAGGGAGGTGGGTGGCAGAGCAGGACAGTGTCTTTTCTGTACAGACCCTTGGGTTGTGATCTCCTGGGGGAGGCCCAGGCCCCTCGACCTCCATTCTTCCAGGCACCAGTGCAGTAGCTTCAGGGGTCAAGTTATCCCTTGGAAGCTAAATATGAAAATAATGTGATCTGATAACAGGCTCCCCATCTCTTTCAGTAACCTTGGGGGCAATATCATCAACAAGGTGGTCCTGAATCTGCTTAAGGCTGGATGGTCCCGGGAAGACATTGCAATGGAGCACTTGGAGTCTAGCCTGCAGGCTGAGCTTGTGGAATCCTCAGGTAAGTGCCGGCCATGTGGACAGTCCACCTGTGGTGAGAGCGCAGCTGGGGTACTGTCTGTGTGCTGGGCTGTGTGCTTAGAAGGCAGGCGGGGCACCCAGGACCACAGAAAGTACACCATTCGGTCACCTCATTGTCAACTTCAGGTGAGCACAAGAGGAGGGCCAAGAAAGCCAAACTCCTTCTCTGAATATGCAAACTGAGAGAAGTTTGTCCCAGCCCTGGAAAGACACGCGGTGGTCTGGGAAGCCTGTGGACTCTGAGAGTCTCTGCAGGAACCCTCGAGCAACCCAGCCTGTGACGGGAGGCAGACCTGTACCCTGTGCTTCCTGCCATCAGATCAAACCAAACCTGGCACTCACAGCCCTGCTCTCCCGCTGCCCTGCAGCGCACGTCCATGGCTGACCATGCGCTCTTTCCCTAAAGGGACAAACAGCTGCAGAGTTCTTGCCGTAAATGTCAGTCAGCCCTCCTGGAGTTGGCGTACAAGATCAAACCTTGCCCAGGCCTTAGTAGCAGGGACATCTTAAAATTCCAGTTGGGTTCAGCCCCAGGTAAGACTCCCCTGTAACTTTGGTCTCCATTTCAGACGGTGCCTTTGGCCACAGCCATCTGGTCAAGGAAAACCTGATTGACTTCTTCGTCCCCTTCCTGCCACTGGAGTACCATCATGTGAGGCTGTGCGCGCGCGATGCTTTCCTGAGCCAGGAGCTCCCGTATACGGAGGCGGCACTGGATGAAGTCGCCAAGATGGTGGTGTACGTTCCCAAGGAGGAACAACTCTTCTCTTCTCAGGGATGCAAATCTATTTCCCAAAGGATTAAATATTTCCTGCCTTAAGGGCTCCATGAAAACCTCCTGAAGCCACCTGTCTTCCAGTAATGGGACTCAGGGCCTGTCAGCACACTGTCCGGGCCTGTAAGAAGCTGGGCGTGGGGCAGGCTGGCACCCAGCAGTCACTAACACGCAGGGTGTGTAGAAGGAAGGCCTTAAGTCAGAAGCACAGCCAATTCTTAAAATCAACTAAAGTGACTTAAAAGTGCCTTAAAGAGCCACATTCCAAAATGTGGGCCCAGTCGTTGAGAAAGCCATGTGGGAATAAACAAATCCCCAGGGCTTATTAGTGCCTCAGCCCTTGCCTGCAGATGCCTAGACTCGGGCATGGGACCTGCGGCTGCAGGGTCCTCGGTGACAGAAGGGAAAAGGGAGGCTTTGCTTACATGGGCATCTGGGTGGGTTAGCTTTCCAGGTGTTACTCCCAGAGGGAAGCTGAGCAGCTTTTATCTGTGAGCCAGAAGATCAGCAAAGAGCATCAGACTGAAGGAAAAAGTACACAGAATTATTTTTTTAAATCTCGTCATTGTAAGCTAAGACTTACTCTGTTGTGCAGATTAAAAGTGTAAGTCAGGGGCCTTGACATGACCATGCCATATATAAAGATTAAAATTTTGTATTTTTCTAAAACCCTTTGCCTCCTTTTCTTCTGAGCCACGTTCCCGATGCCAGGTGATCCTGATGAGCTCTGGTGGGGCTGGGTGCGCGGGCGCTCTGAGCGGACTGGGTTATTGCTCCGTCTGCCAAATGCAGTTTGCTTTGGGACGACAAAGGTTACATCAACTTCTTACCAAAGAGCTTCCTCAGCATACTGCTTGCATGAGAATGTCATTCCCATGCACCCCGCTTTAAAAACAGTCATTTATGAGGATTGGCCACATGTGAACATGTACTTGTGCCTCTGGACAGACAGGGGGAGCTCATGTTTTTTTCCTGTCCCTTGATTCTTCCCTTCTACACTTCTGGGATTACATACGCGTCTTTTACATTTGTCAGCACCTCGAGTGTTCCCTTAGTTAAAGCCCTGCCCAGCCTGCTCACCTTAAGCCCTGGTAAAGAACACTACGTCTCTCCCGTTAAGACTATTGCACTCCTTTACTCAGCTGCCCCACAGTAACCTGACAACAGGTACCCAATAAACATTCAAATAAATGAATTAAACAGTTTCATACCACTCATTGGACGAAAACTTGTTCTAACACACAAGAAAAGGAGGGGCCAATTTTAGCTGTTGGCTTGGTGTATCCATATGGAGCATCGCAGGGAGAATGTGCAGGCAGCCGAGCCTAGTACATGCCCAGCTCCAAACTCTGTGAGGCCACACTAAGAGGTCAATTGTTAGGTCTCAGGGCCACAGAACAGCTGCCATCCTGTCAGCACTGGTCCACCAAGGCGGCCATCATAATAGTATCTGACCCTCTTACACCTGAGGGGCCAGAACAGGCAGACCAATGCAGAACTCTGGACATTTCCCCACTCCATGGGGCTGGAGTGCCATGGCTTGGCCACTGCCCACTGTGAGACCACAGGAAAGCTAGCACCCTCAGTTTAACCTTGGTTTCCACTTTTGTAAAAGTGAGCCTAACTACTGAAGCTCCTAGGGTGGCTGTGAGGGTTACATGAGTTCATCTTTTTCAAAGTGCTCAGAACACTTAATGCACAGAGCATTAAGGTGTTTAAGAAAATAAAAACCTATCAAACTGCTGTTTTAGCAGCATGCTAAAGCCAAGGCTGGACTTGCCCTGCGTTCTAGTTCTTGGAACCTGGTTGGTTTTATGTAACATTTGAGAACTTATGTGTGCCATGCCTTGAGCTAGGCACTGTAAACCCATAATCTCACGTAATCTTTTAAGACTTAGGTTCCAATGTCATCACTGTTCAGTAAATGAGAAAAGTGGGGCTTTGATGGGTCAGTATCTTGTGCAAAGTCAGAGATACACTTAGAGAGCCTCTTCAGAGGAGAAATGGGGTTCAGCCCAGGTTCAGTCCAGCTCTAGCTCGCATGCTTTGATTTCCTCAGCAAATGCCATGGCTCCAGGTGTGGAAAAGGTTCTGTGATATAATGACATAAATACATATTTGGTCATTTCATATGACCAAATATGTATTTCCCAGGTGTTTAGTCTTCATCCACATTTTCTGAAGACTACAGAGTCTTAAATATGAAATGGGCATTTTGTCATGTTAATGAGAGACTTTTGGACCCCCCCACACCCCCTCCAATGGCAGGGGCTGGAGGCTGAATCAGCCAATTAGTCGATCATGACTGCAATGAAGCTTCACAGAAACCCCTGAGAAGAGCTTAGCGCTCTCTGCTCAGCTAGATCCTGCTTCTCAGTTAGGCAGAGCTTCCATGCTTGGGGAGCCAGAACGCCTCCATCTGCCACCAAGCCAGGCCCCAAGCTCCACCAGGATAGAAGAAGCTCCTTTATTTGGGACCTTGCCCCTATGTATCCTGTGGGTAAAACTGCAATATTTCCAGAATCTCTCAGCTTTAGTGCATCTCCATATCAATAGGTGATTACAAAGTTGGTGGAGAGCAAGCAGGCACCTGGACTGGATTTTTGGCAGCCAGGTCATGGGAGACATGGGCAAGCAGGAGTAGATGACTGCTTGTAAGCAATAAACCAGTTTCTCCCACTTTATTTCTCCCTTTGATTTCAGCTTCAAAATTCTTTGCCCTGGGCTGAAAACATATTTTCCGTCTGAAGATATATCTGGTGGTAGTAGGCAGGACCTCTGAACCAGAAATCTGTCTTCATGGGTGCAATGCTTGGACCGACTGACCCTGAGATGGTGGGGAAATACCTGGAAACCCCCCTGTGGATGCTGGACCAGCCCCAGTGGCTGCTGCAGTGGTGGGGTGACGACTCACCCCTCCTTCTGGCTGCTGCGGATGGTAGAGCTTCACCCAGTAAAACCCCATCCATGGGACTTCCACTCAGGGAGACCCCAGTGGAGAACTGGTTTAAAGTAAAGCAGTTCCTAGACGGGTCGGGCCTTCCCCAGAATTGGGGAAGGGTGGAGACACTGGAAGCTGTGGAATTAGCCCTCTGTGAGAGAGAAGACTGAGTGGATGTGTAACAGCTGGGATTGCAGGATGTTTGTTTCCCAAGATAGTAGAAAGGGTTATCGGAGAGACACAATTCGGCGTCCCTTGGAGGAGCTGAGCAATGACCTATGGGATGCCCTTGAGAGAGAGAGACAGTTATTGAGAAGATGGGTCATGCTCCTAGAAGATAGATTAGCAGCGAGGGAGAGGGCAGCCGGAGAATCTGCATTGCAGGCCATGGGGAGGGGAGGTAGGAGCAGTGTCTTCAGCCCCAGAGATGATGGAGATGTTGCAGGAGGATGAAGGGGAGGGGCCGAGGGTAGAACCACCTGAGGCACCAGCCCCTCCCGTATTAAAGGCCCACCCAGTTGTGATTAAGAAAATAAAAATGCAACAACCATGGGCTCCTCAGGGGGAGGAGTCATCCCTCCCCAGGTTGTGGAGCACTCCATGCTCTGCCCCTATACCCAGGATGAGCTGGTGGATATGAGCATTGGGTTTTGGCAGAAGGCATTGGAACCTCTGCCTACATGGCTTTTGCATCTCTGGCATATGAGGGTGAAAAGCTTTGTTATGTTGGGTTCTGAAATCAGTAGACTGGCTTCCCTGATGACTCACCCTTCCCTCCAGCAGTGATTGCAAAGTGCCCGTCACACCCCAGGAAATCAGGCGCTTCTGGATGGACAGCAGCCATCAGGGCAGTTTGGCCTGATCACGATGATTTGCCATACTTAGCCACTAGCTGGAAAACATAAGCAGACCTCCAGCAGGTGTTAACGGGAGCTGGGCATGAAAAATATCATCTATAATATGAACCCCCAAGGCCCCAATGGGGAGTTAGTCACCGCAAGAATGAGAAACCTGGTGCTGCATATAGCTCCCCCATCTCTCTTTGGGTCGCTACTGACTATTCTTGCTCCCCACATAGGGTAACCTGTGAGGCTACTCATACTTTAGCAGATCTGGGAGAGGTTGAAATAGTTTAGACACAGAAGTTAAGTACAGGATGACTAAAGGAGAGGTGCTAAGGGCTCTGTGAGATGTGGGTTGATTTGATAAAGGTGGGGTAGTGAAAGGAAAACTTGATGGGCAGCCCAACAGAATCTTGTTAGAACTGTGGCACCAATTAAAGCCAGAGCAGCAGTTCCAGCCACTGAGATCCAGGACATGGAAGCTGAAGGCAAAGCCCCATGTCCAGCCTGTGTCCCTGCAAGACTTCCTGGGGCACAGTACTCAGGCTCCGCCTGGGCCCTCACCCCCACAGGACAATGATTGGGCATCATGGTTAGACTGAGGGGGTGTCAAGGTCCCCACCTTGAGGGACATGGTGGGGACCAGAGGCCACATGTAGAATTAGCAATTCATTGGTCCCCCATTAATGTACAACATGTCCTGGCGCTGGTGGACACAGGAGCTGAACGTTCTCTGATTTACAGCAACCCTGTTTTCCCAGGCCCCCTGCTATGATGGCTACGGGGATAAGGCAATTGGAGAGAAGAAAGCCCAGATCCTACTGGGGATAGGACCAGAATCCAATGGGTTGGCATGTCCGTTCAAGCCACTGCCAAAGGACCCATCCATAACCATCTTTGGTTACATGAACATCTAGCTCACAGGGCCTTGATGAGTCCATTACACTCAAGGCCTGTATGGTCTTGACTGCTCGCTTAGCAGCAGTAAAAGCAGCTGCAACATCTACAGGAGAAAGGATGGGCTTGAACAGCACCAAGGTTCATGGACCTGGTTTGTCAGTAAAGTTATTGGGGGTTGTCTGGTCAGATAAAACTAAAGTTATCCCAGAAGCAGCAATAGATAAGGTCCAGGCTTTCTGTACCCTTACCTCTGTGGCAGTATTACAAGAGTTTTGGGGGTATTTGGAGCTACTGAAGAGTGTTAATTCTGCACTTGGCACAAATTCTGAAGGTACAAAAGGGCATCAGGTGGGACTGGGATAAAACATTTTTAGTTTATTCAGCATTGTGCTCAGAATGGACTTTGAAAGAATTAAATCCATTCTACAATCACCTCATGTTGGACAGATGGATACACACATACACACATTACCTACCTTATTAGGCTCCTGATAGATGCCTTTGGCCATTTCCAAAAATGTAATCATCAAAGGATGACTATTCACTCCCAGAGAGGACGTTCTAAAGAATGTGCCAGAGGGATGCTTGCTAAAATCACTTCTTCACTTATAGATTCATCTATTTTATGTAGAGAGAGAGAAATGCTGCTTAGATATCCCATCAGTTAAATTATGGGAGAAGCACTCCAATCACAAGCGTACTTTGCCAATAAAATATTGCAACCTTTATTTAAAATAAAACACAAGTCGGCAAGCCTTGTGAAACAACAGGCAGACAGCATTCCCCTTTCAAGGGCCTCATTTATTTACATCAAGTTTAACACTGTTAGCAGTTCACAGTCAGACAACAGAGAGAATTAAATTAGAAAAACAAAACAACTGAAAATATTATATTACATAACAATTAAGAACAAATACCTGACAACACTGGTAGTGACCCATGACTGGTGTGTTTTCAGCTAAATCCCGTATCGTCTCACTGTGTCTCCTTGGCAATGCTTCCAGGGCCAGGCCCTCCAGACCTCAATGTCTATGCACCCACCATGTACACACCTGCAAAGCGTGACCTTTGGTATAAATCAGTTTTAAAAAATCTGGATCATATGTTTTAGGACAAAGTTCTGTCAACCACTGTGAAATATTCAGTTACTTTTGTCAAGCGAGCATAAAACTGGGGTTCCTCCACTGATAGTCATTACAGAATCAGATTGCAATGAAGGAAAAATGTGGGGTCTACCCAGGAGATGGGGTTCTGAGCATGCATTAACAGCTCAGTCGACCTGTTCACCACAGGGGCAGATCTGACTCCTCTTTCCCTAACTCTCCCCTCCTTTCTTAGGGAGCACGTCAGTGTGGGGGCATAACATGTACCCTCCAGGCACATCTGAGATATGAGTTTTCAAACACACCCAAAAGAACTATGAGATGAGTACCTCACTGTCCTTTCTAGTTTCTGAATAGTAATTTCTCTCATAACAGAGTCCCAAGAACAGTGGCTGTCATGGAGAAAGGCTGGCATTCCTGGCCCTCATCCACCAGAAACATCTCTGTCTTGTGGCATTCTCACAACACACATGGTATGGTACATCTGAACTGTGCAGAATAGGGTTTAGAATTCACCACTGACAACTCTAACGCATCACAGGATCCTGCAATATATTTAGAATAAAAAATAAATTTATTTGGCATTTCTGTGTTATTACGGCTGAAAATTAAGCATCCTTATATGGTGCTTAATCACAATTTAAAACTGCTCGAAAGCAAACCTAAGCAAGCTCCAACCATGAAAGCTCTCTATATTTCCTTTCGAAAAGCCTCCTAACATTGGACAATTCATCTCCACTGTGTCCTAAAGAATTAACTAGAATGCTCTGAGACCTCAAGCCATGTGTGTACAGCTCAACAGCTTGGAGTGACATGTTAAGACCTGGAAACTTGTTACTTCGAGTACAGTGATAAAGAACCTCTGAGAACAGAGAGAGGGTGTGTGCAGGGTATGGTCTAGGGACAATGCTGGGCCTAACCTTTCAACTTAAAGGAGACATATTTTTCCTAAGTGGGTCTGCAGGGTTGAAGATTCCTCTCCTGTGACCTCAGACCAAGTTAACAGGGCCTTGCTGCTGTGCTAGGTCACTCAGCAATGGGGAGGTTAAAGGATATAATTCTAAGAGACAATTTCAAATTTATAATGGTACATAGAAGCAAAGACATTAAGTGCACTTGGAGGGGGGAAGGGTCCAGTTAGAGGGTCCATCCCCCAGCTCACCAAGCAGGATGGGGAAAAGCAGTCTGCCAGACCAGCACCCCATGTGGGGAGAACATCTCAAGTGGGGAACTCTTACTGATTGGAACTCTGAGCCACTGCTACCTACAAAGCTCATTTCTACCAGTTCCAGTTCAATAACTGCGCAACATCAACCCAGCAACAAGTCCTTTCTTCTGAAAAGCACGTGAAACCCATCTCTGAAAGTGCAGCGCTCAGGGAGTGATCTCCATGACTGCAAGCCAGCCTAGGTAAGGTGACCTGCCTCAGCATCCTCACCGGGGGAGGGGCAGGGAATCTTCTCACCCTGAGTATCACAAGGAAGAGCCTTTCCTAACTTCCTGTCCTTTAGATTTAGGACATAGGAGGGCAGGGAATGGTGATGTCTGGCACAGGTAATGGTAATTAGTACTCCAGACACTACCGGCTTGTCAAAAACAGCGAGGTTTGCATTCTATTTTTTGAAGTCTGGTAGTTGGAAAGCTGGAACTCTAGTCAAAAGATATAAATATCCTGACTAGTAAGAGTGGGACACGTTTTAGAAGCAGCCAAGGCCTCTCCTCTCTGACTAGTGAGGAGAGGCTAGCAGCAATTTCCCTGGGTTGTCACATGGAAAGGACAGGTGCCCTTGGGGCTGCTTTTGCCTGCCTTTGTCAGAAAGGTGTAAGCTTTCTTCCAGAAAGGTATAACCCTTGAAGCTGTCTTTCCCTATTTCTCTCCTGCTCCCACATATCCCAAACCAAAGAAGGCATTTACAAAAGAACTGAGCTACTTGGCTTGCAAGAAGATGAGACAGATATGGACAGCTGGAGTCTATTAATACACACAAAAAAACCTACCTACCCAAAGATGACTGGTCATAACAGACGTTTAGGGCAGAGATGGACCCCAAATCCAGATAGAACATCTTAATGCAAGGAAGATGATGAAACCTCAAAATCATCAAGAACAAAAATGCAGACAACCCTGTCAACCCGATGTGACCTTCTGTGGGGGCACAGACCAATAGCAACGGTGACATCAGTAGCAAAAACGGTAATGGGAGAGAGGTCTGAATGCATGGGATTGTAACTCAAAAGCAGCCACCAAAGCGATTTACTCTTGGGTATTTTATAATCTAATAGGTGAGCTATGTTCAGCTACTCTTCTTAGAAAAAAAAGAACATGGATGAATGTCAAGCTCATTTATAACTGGAAGGAAATCCTAGAAAAGTAATTCCCAAAGTGCACTGACTCTGGCCATCTAATCCCTCTCCCACCCCACCCGCCCAAAAACCGAAACAAAACCACACAGGACATAGGTTAGAAAAGACACTGTCAACATCAACAGGTAGCGCGCCTGCTCCCACCATACTTAGGACACGGATTGCTGCACGTGTAGTGGACAAATGCTCGAGGGCAAGAGGGCCACACTGTTCCTGAGTCAAAGTCCCTGGAAGAACTTTGCTCTGGAGTGAGTACACATTACCGACTTTTTAAAGACTATAATAAAACCAGAAAGTTGGTCCCTTATCTTCTGAATTTATTTAGCGCTAAGCTACAATTTTAGCAAAACACTTACTATACCTGCACATATTCAATTAGCAGTTTCATTAGAAATGTGATAAATTATAGAGGTGTTGTTTATTAAGTGCCTTTTCAGGTCCCCTACAGGTAAAAAGCCTATTAAGTCAATCAGCCCCTAATTAACTGGTTTATCTTCTAAACAGACATTAATAACACCACCTTTAGTTATATTACATTTGATATTTTTCTCAAAGTGCTTTCATACACATTATCTCATAGTCATTAAAATGATATGGAACAATAAAGGTTTTTTTTTAAGAAAAAGGAAAGTAGGACTAGGTTTTTAAAAACAAGTTGGTATTTATTACAAAGTGCACATTACTATGTTGCTGAGAAATGTCCAAAAGAATCCCATATAATTTTTTAAATTACTGAGTTCTATTGAATACCTGCTTTGCTAGTGTTCCCATTACTCAACATTCAAGCCCCTTGAGGTTAGAGAGTGCCAGGAGCGTGTGCTTTATTAGTGTGCAGCACGGTGCAGACTGATTGTCAATTTAAACATGTTTTGCAGTGTCTCACATGGCAGCAGGAATGGTGGAAAGATCCCGCAACCAGAAAGTCAAGGAACCCAAACTCTAGCCTTGGCCCTGCCACTAATTACCTGCTCTGGGATAACATACAAGTAACTGAATCATCCTCTCTTCCAATTTCTTAAGCTGTAAAGAAAAGGGTTAGGGTACTCATAGTGTTTGGACAGTGCTGGGTATCTGGAGGGATTCTGGAAAACCACACAGGCTGAGACCCCACTGCATCAGGAATTCCAATCTGGGGTGAGGCTGATGCATCAGGTTTTTGTTTGGTTGTTTAAACCCCAGGGAACTGTGCTGCATGCCCCTGGCTCAGACTCCCTGGACTATGTTAACAGTAGTTAACATTTATGGAGTGCTTATCATGTGCCAGGCACTCAAACTAAGTATCTTACATACATTATCTCATTTAATCCTTAAACAACCCTGAGGTAGTTACTATTACTATCCCTGTTTTCCAGTGAGGAAACTAAGGCTCAGGAAGGTTAAATGACTGGTCTTCTAGATTGGCTTTAAAGTCTCAACTGTTAATCACTAGCTATACTGTATCCTTCAAACACAAAAGCTCCATATTTATATATTTATATATGGGTTGTGCCTCAGCAAAGTCAGCATGTTTTATTAACTGGGCACTCTTTTACTAGCCAACTTTCAATTTAATTATAAGAAAATTCTAATTTAAACCCCAAAATACAGCTGGGAAAGGGTCTCCACTATAATGACCTTAATGGATAGAGGTCACATGGAAAAATACGGAATGAATTTCTTAGGGCCACTTTGTTTTTAAGGCTGTATCTCTGAAAATCACAATGAAAGTCTATAGGAAAACATATACATTTAAATTTTACACAAAACCTTTTAAGAAAATACTTTATGTAAAGCATAACTAAGATGTATTCTACACAAAACACTGCATTTTAAGATTGAAAATCTAAACTGAAATCCCACCATATATACATGAAAGGACGGAAGCTGTGGAAGCCCAGATGTGTGCATCTATATAATCAATTCAGAAGTTTTCAACACCTGTAAAAGTGTGTTGCTCCTGCTGGATCTGCTTTGCTTTTAAACGAGACAGGATTAAACTATGTTTTAGTGCCTAGAAGCAGTTTTCTCTGCTTTGAATTCAAACTTCTAAATTTACATAAGGTTATTTTTGGAATCTGGTCCTTTTCGAGTATAAAATGGAAAAACCTAAATTGTACTTCTAAAAGTTGACAGTGCCTCTTTAACCTGAACCCTGAGCCCTCAACCCCTCCAGTTACAGTTCATGCAGCAAGTGGATGGGGTGTGCTAACAATAATGCTACTCTGACAGTGTTGAGAAAAATCAATTCAATTCATGAACTTACTGAGCACCCACACAGGCAAGAAAGAGCCAGGTGCCACCCCTGAGTAAGACACAGACCCCACCCTCAAGACTGTGCTTCAGTGAGAAAACCAGGGAGCTTAAATCCACTCAGTAGTGTTCCTCCAAGGCTTATTTTCAGAGCTCTAAAGATCCCTTAAAGTAGAACAAAAAACAAAAAAACAAAAAACAAAACCTAAAAACAATTATAATCCCTCAACTTGCATCCCACAATGATAGGGATAAATTTACAGAGCAGCATAACAGTAATGTTTTAGCTTTCCCTGCCCCACCCTGAAAAGGCTAACTGCTAAAACAATTTCAAGTGTAAGGAGGTGCATGATGAAGGGGAGTGGCAGAGAAGGTGGGAGGAGGAGAACTGGTTTCAAATCCAAATTAAAGGGAACTGTCTTCTCTAACCACCGTAAGGAGATCAAGCAGATCATGAGCTGCCCACCTCTGCGGCTGACAGCAGACAGGGACTCCCAAGCCCGCACGAGGAAGAGCCGGCACCACCTCCTCCCCGCTCACCCTTTTCTTGACCTGTTTCTCCTCTGGAGCAGCTGTGGTAAGAATCAAGGTTTCCTTTCTTTCGAGTGAAATCCAAATTTCTTCCTTGTTCAAAGATGCCAAATTCTGTCCAAAACTTATTGTGTCCCTCTTAGTATTCTAGCCCAATTAATATAGTCTCAGCAGTTCTAAATTTCATTATCTGCTACTGAGTAAAGAAGAGAATGAAAAACCATTCAACCTAACACTGCACTTAAGAGCTTTCCAGAGAGGCTTTCCAAAGGGTGGCTATACACTTATTGGCAAGCACCCTTGGGAACACGTAACATTACCTTCATTTAACAGAATAAGAGATGGGGTTGTGGCTTGACAGTGGATCAGTGACAGAGCCAGGAAGAGAACTCACTGTTCATCAATGTTGAATTCCTATCTTCCTAAGTTAATGACCCTTTGGGAGGAAAAAATAACATTATTTATTTTTTTGTATTGGGTTCTCCTTGGGTCGGGGGATGGTCATAAAGCTAAGAAGAGAATGAAGTGGTAGTTCGAATTAAACCTGGCATCAAGAATATTAATATCTAACCAATTAGATTTGGTTCCACGTGATCCCATTTTAGCTTCCATAATCATAACAATATGAACCTGTTTTTCAAGGGCAAAACACATTTGAGGGTTAAGTCATTAGCTTTCCAGAATTTAATTTTTGTTCTGTGGAAATAACCTGCTCCTTCAACTATGCATTCTTAAATAGAGGTGAAATGACAAATATCAAAATATATTCCCAATATGATCTTTACAAACAAGCACAATGGTGGGGAGTGGAGGTGATATGTGAGAGGAGAAAGGCATTTGAGAATAATTTGAGTAACTCATTTGAAAGCCACAGAGAGTGAAAGAATGCTTGTCCCTACTCTCTATCTAGGTTAGGTCTAAGTTGATAAGGGAGGGGAAAGGTACAGAGATACAGCCACTAGGAGCGAGCTAGCTTCTCCTCAGTCACAGACCCGGCCATTGGGTTTCAAGAAGAGACCCTTTCCCTGGTATCTCCGCTGATAAAGAAACACAGCTGCTCAAGTCCTTGGCCAGTATGTCAGTACACAAGGTCACTGTCTGAGAGAAGGATTCCCCTGTGAGACCTGCACATGCCCACTACTTTCAAAATCAATGCTGGTTAATGCCCTGAATGCTGCCGGGAATAGAGGCAGACAGCTTGTCCAGCAAGGGACAGAGAACAACCACTAAGGACAACCCTATGCCTATGGTTTACGGATAGGCACCAACAAGCAGAAGGCCAATCCTGGTCCATTAGGAAATGATATACTAGACTGGGAGAAGTGACCTCTGCTAATGAGTGAAAGATTTTAGGAGCAAGTTTCAATCTCCCTGACTATACTTCCTAGCATCCTTTACTTCCAGCTCCAATTAACACACCAGTGGAAAATAGGACAGAAGCGTACAGACAGGCCCAGGTTTCCCAGTTTTGTACGCTAGCGACCAGGTATACAGCTCTCACTGCAGCAGTGACCCTGTGAGAGGCTGCTTCCAACAGCCCTGAATGGAATTTGTCACGGTACCTTCCCAGCTTTCCTTTCCTCTGTCCCACCACATTCATTAGGTGAGCTGGAACATAACCACCACTGGCACCCACCAGAGCCCACGTCACCTCCCTTCTGTGCGGTGCAGGAGTGCCGCTGCCAGTCCACCGTGGGCACAGTCCTGCAGCCTTGCTGACAGCAGCCCTAACCAACTCACTGCACTCCAGGAAGGAATGGGCTGGATCTGGCTCTTCACAGCTGACACACACACATTCTGTGACGTGCCAGTGCTGCTTCCCATCCTGTTCACTACCACCCTGCCCCCAATCAAATTTCCCTCTCCTATGTGTTTTGCTTTTTGTTATTTTTGAGATGAACCTGTAAACGTGAGAACTCAGAGATCTGAGGTACTTCACATAAACACACTCAAGTATCAGTCTTTCCTTTTTTGAAAACAAGAACACAGGAAAACAAGTCCCTTTCCCTCTCCCCGCAGACGTGTGCACCTTTCCACTAGGCTGACAGCAGCTACCTCTGCACCACATCGCTGATCTCCTGTACACATGACAGTAAGTTACTAAGGACAGGGTTTGCCCCGGGCACACCAGCAGCCGCCGAAGACACCTGCAGCTCCTGCAGGCTGAGCTCCAGTTTGCTTACAGCCTCTCGGAAGGCGAACTTGTTGCGAGTCTGCGGGATGCAGTCCACATAGCCTGAGCAGTAGTCGAGCAGCTGGTGCCCAGTGTCCACCAGCTGGCTGTTGGGCACAGGTTCTGTGATTGCACTTGACAGTAGGTCAGCACATTCCAGCAGGGCCTCTTTGCTGATTTTGTCTGCTGAGATTTTCTCAGCTGCCTGTTTGGTTTTTCTCAGAGCCACTTTCGTACCTGCTGTGCCATTGGCCATTTTGGCGGGCGAGATGGAAGACGTGGGCAGAGGCACTTGAGGAGGAGGCAGTACTGGCCTCCCAGCTTTCCCGCCGACGGGCGCGGCCCCCGGGGCTGCCTTCCTCCCTCCTTCCTGGCTGTCTGCCGGGGGCTGCCCCGCGGCTGGCTCCTCCAGGGACTCGGGGCCCACGGGCTGGTGCTGCAACAGTCTCATCACTGGTGGGGGTGGCGGCGCACACTTTGGTTTTACCCGACGGGGTCGGTCCTTGTCTCCAGAGGACGTGACTTGATGCTCAGATAGGAGCTTGAATTTATTCCCCTGAGAGTCTGTGCCAATGAGCTGCACATCCGCGGGAGTGTGCTTCAGAGTGGGCGAGATGAGGACGGGCACCTTGTGGTTATGAGTGGTGGGGAGGACTGCGGCAGCCTTGGCCGGGGAAGACCAGCCCGTCTGCTCGCCATCCTCTGGGACCCCGGCCATGCCAAGTCGGGCCCCACCATTCCTTTCCTTGCTCTTCGGGGCAGCTGTCCCTCCAGCCACCCCCACCCCTGCAGAGTCCATTTCTGTAATGGCTGGATCCCCAGAGGGGGTTCTGAGTGGAAGAGCAGTGGCTCCTCTGGGCAAAAGTTTGGCTTTTGGTCTCTCCCTGGTTGGAGCAGTACCTTCCTCTGATTTTTTTGGAAGCGTGTCATTGGCCCTGTCCACATTCTCTTCTGGCTGAGAAGAGATGGACACTGTCCTTTCCAGCTGGAGTTTGGACCTCTGGCAGTTCCTGGGCAGGGTCATTGCCATCCTATCCTGCTCTGGAAGCCCTGAGGACATGGAAGATGTAGAGTTTGACCTTGGAAACGGCTTGGAAGCGTCATCACTGGCTGTAGGTTTACCTGCTCGTAAGCCCAGTGTCTTTTTGATTAAGCGTGGTGTAAAGAAGCCCGTGATGCCAGACCACCCACTCCCAGCAGGGCCGCTGCCCCCGCCCCCACCACCATCGTCACTACAGAGGTTCCTCTGTGCAAAGCTCCCCCCATAGCACTTGGAGGGCACCAGATTCGCCTCTTGCTGGGCAGGAGTGAAAGAGAACCCATCAGCATGCTGAAGAGAAGCAACGGATGAGAAGTTACCCGTGAGTTCATACTTCTTGTGGGGCTGATTCTCCATTTCTCGGAAGGAGCTGCTGCGTTTTGGGGGTGTGGGGGCATTTCTTTTTTTCATGAAGGAGCTGAAGAAGCCTCCCTTCCTATCCCTGCTGAAGCATGTCTCTTTGGCATCTTCCAAGAGGCTGCTGGGTGACTTGTCTCTCTGCTTCCGAGGCAGTGCTGGGGACCCACTGGGCGCCTGTGCACTTCTAATGAACCCTGATAAGAAATGGCCAAACAGTCATGTGAAAGACAAGAAGTGACTCCGTTACACTTGCGTCTCTAAGACTGAACTGCAATGGTTTTTTCAGCATTCATTCAATGCCAGGAGTTAGCAGGACTCAGGAAGGAGACTACTAAATATATTATCATTTCACACTACTTAGCATTCCAAATGTGATGTGTAAGTAAAGAAGTAACCTACTAGTAAGGGAAGAAATAACCAGCGGATTTTTACCTGAGCATCCACTTTTTCTCTAAAAACCACAACACAACCTGACCTCATCTATCAGGCTCAGTGAAGAACTTTTACCAGACCCATAAAGATAGTAACTATTTGGAAGTGAGGAGTTAAGGACAGTGGAAGGTGGAGTTATATGTTAGACAACAGATAGGACTATTCACACTGGCAATGCAGAGCCTAGACCTGGAGTGGGAGGCTAAATGGATGCCAGCCATACATTCCTCTGGGAAGATGGGCAGGAAAGTAGAAACTAAAAGCACCATACCCCATGGTTCTTTAAACAAGGCAGTTCAGTTCCACCTGCCTACAGACCCATACCTGGGGCTGAACTGGAAGCAGAATTTTCGGTGGCATCTTGCACCCCTTCGATATTCTCCTTGTTCTCCACTTGTTTCTTCAGTGTCCGGGTCTTGGAAGGAAGTATAGGTAAGCGAGGCAGGTATGGAACAACAGACGAGGCAGCGGCGGCTTTCCCAAGCTCCTCAGCTACCTCTGTGAGGAAGACAAGGGCACTAATAAAAAGAATTTAATGGCAAAGAAGAATTTTTCTTTTCAGAAAAGGCATACAATGGAAAGAACTAAAATAAGTGGAATGATGGAGGACTCTTTCATGTCTGGCTTCTTTTGCTCAACATGTGTCAATAGAGTCATTCATGTTGCATGTGGCTGGGATTTTCTCATTGCTCTGTATTTTTCAAGTGCACAAATATACCAAAATTCATCCATTCTCCTCTTGGTGGATATTTAGACTGTTTCCATTTGGGGGCTATCATGACTGTCACTAGGCCCATCCTGCTGTGTGTCTCGTTTCAGTCACATGCATGGCTGCTGGGTATGTTCCGAGGAGCAGGACGGGAGGTCACAGGGCACACACAAATTCAGCTCTGCTAGGTCCTGCCAAACTTTCTCCCAAAATGGCTGCCCTGATCTACACGCCCACTAGCACTGTATTAAAGTTCTGGGAACTATACGTGCTTGTCCAAGTTTGATGTTATCAGGTTTTTGGTTTGCTTTTATATGTATGTAGTGGCATCTCATTGATTTATTTGGTACTTCTCTGGTGATGAGTGATGTTAAGCATAGTTTAACGTGCTTATTGGTCATTTGGATATCCTCATTTACTAAGTGCTTGCTCACAGGCTGAATAAAGCAGACAAGTGTCTGAAGACATTTTTATTTTTAGGTGGTACCTTGCACTAAAAAGAGGGTACACATAATCCATTCCACTTTACGCAAATGAAGCAAATGAGTCTCCTGGAGAAGTGCTCATGCTTCACGCTATTAGTAAGCCTCCGATGACTGAACTTGGCCACAGGTTTTGTGGTTTGACTGTGGCAAGGGCATACCTTGCTGTTCATTCTTGAACACAAATAATGCAAAGTAGGAGCATTTAAAGGATGAAATTCTGTAACTATTTCACAACTTGTTCTTGTAACTATTTAAAAAATGAACTCTTCACAAGACTGGGTAGAAGGCACACACCCCAAGCCATGCCAGTTAGACTCCCTTCTCACACTATGATCCACAGTGGCTGGGAGACAGGCGTGCACTATGGAGATTATGACCCCAGGGATGCTAGCAACTGTGTCCCACACAGAAGATTCTGGGGATGAGATCAGTATAGAAGCAAAAGTAAAGAGATATTGCGTGGAAATGGTTAGGAAGAGAAAGGAAAGGGAAAGGGAATGGAGAGAGACCCAAAGCTACTTGAGTCCATGGCTTCAGCTAACCCTGATATTAGTGCCATCCCAGCTTTTCCATGATTTTGTTGTAAATCAATAAATCCTCTTTTATTGGTTAAGAAAAACTGAGTTAATTTTGTTCACTTACAACTCATAACTAAATACATAACTTTAAGGTAGGAACTGTATCTGATCTTTGTGCCTCTGACCTAGTATAGTGCTGGCCACACATTAAATGCTTAAAATGTTAAGTTTCTTGTTTAGCAATTTTGAATTGAAATTAGCTTTCAAAACTGAGTGTTGATTTTCAGAAAGGATATAATATTTTCAAGAGAAGCAAAAATATTTTAAGAATTCAACAGAAGTTAAAAACTGATACAAAAGTACCCAAAAACAGAGCCTAAAATCTTCTACTACTCTGACTCCACAGCAAATAAAGCACACAGAGCAAAGAAAAGTGCTGCGACACACAGCTGCCCAACTGGGCCCAAGAACCAACTGTGCCCTCCCCAACCTGCAGAAGTTTCCTTTGTCAAAGGACTAGGATGAAAATACTTTTCATTAAATTCCGGTGTACTTTTCCCTGTCTTCTTACCTGACATGATAAATCACTACCACTATGGGAAGAAGACAAAAAAATCAACTTGCCTGATTTCCTCTTCTAATATTTTTAAACTTGGACTTAAGGAGTAGGCTCTATGTTCAATTACAGAGCAAAGGAGAAACTTGAAAAATATATACAAAATTATGGAACTATATCAAACTGTCTAATGAGCAAGTTTAAGAATTCTGTGATTTTTATTAACAAAAGGATAAAAAACATACATGAGCATTTCAATGGATGCTGAAGAAGCATTTGAAAAAAATTCAACATCCATTCATGATAAAAACTCAAATGGGTAGAGAGAGAACATATCTCAACATAATAAAGACCATACATGGACAAATCCATAGCTAACATCATATTCAATAGAGAAAAGCTGAAAGTGTTTCCTCTAAGATCAGGAACAAGACAAGGATGTCCACTTTCACCAGTTTCATTCAACATAGGACTGGAAGTCCAAGCCACAGCAATCAGACAAGAAAAGGAATAAAAGGCATCCCAACTGGTAGGGAAGAAGTAAAATTGTCACTCTTTGTAGATGGCATAATACTATATATAGAAAACCCAAAAGATTATTAGATATAGAAAAACCAAAAGATTATTAGAATAAATCAGTTCAGGAAAGTTACAAATCAACATACAGAACTCTTGTTGTATTTCTATATACAAACAATGAATGATCAGAAAGAGAAGTTTAAAAAAAAATCCCATTTCAACTGCATCAAAAAAGAATAAAATACCTGAGAATAAACCTAACCAAGGAGATGAAAGACCTGTACTCTGGAAATTATGACATATTTTAATGAAAAAAAAAACTGACAGCACAAATAACTGGAAAGATATTCCATGCTCATGGAAAGGAAGAAAGAAAAAATGGGCCATACTACCCAAAGCCATCTATACATTCAATACAATCCCTACCAAAATAGCAATGGCATTTTTCCCAGAACTGGAGCAAATAATCCTAAAATTTGTATGGAACCACAAAAGACCCAGAACAGCCAAAAAAATCTTAAGAAAGAAGAGCAAAGTTGGAGATATCAAGTGCTCTGATTTCGAACTATACTACAAAGCTACAGTAATCAAAACAGTATGGCACTGACACCAACACAGACAAAGATCAATGGAATGGAACAGAGAGCCCAGAAATAAATGCACACCTATATGGTCAATTAATATATGACAAAGGAATGTATTTTAAAAGTACATATGATAGTTTCTACAATGCAACCCCTATTATCAAAATTCCAATGGCATTTTTTTTTTAATGACAAAGGAGGCAAGAATATACAATGGGGAAAAAACAAGTCTCTTCAATAAATGGTGCTGGGAAAACTGGACAGCTACATGCAAAAGAATGAAAGTGGACCACTGTCTTACACAATACACAAATGGATTAAAGACCTAAATATAAGAATGCTCCTAGAAGAAAACATAGGTAGAATACTCTTAAACATCAGCTAGTAATTTTTTTCTGGATACATATTCTCAGGCAAGGGAAAACACAAGCAAAAATAAACAAGTGGGACTTCATCAAACTAAAGAGCTTCTGCAAAGCTAAGTAAACCATTAACATAATGAAAAGGCGACCTGCTGAATGGAGAAGATACATGCAAATGATATATTCAATACAGGCATAATATCCAAAATACATAAAGAATTCATACAATTCAACACCAAAAAAACCACTCACAAAAACAAATAATCCAATTAAATAATGGGCAGAACATGAATAGAGATTTTTCTAAAGAAGAAATACAGAAGGTCAACAGACATGTGAAAAGATGCTCTACACCACTAATCATCAGGGAAATGCAAATCAAAACTATAATGAGATATTAACCTCACACCAATTGACTGACTACTATCCAAAAAAGAAAACCAAGAAATAACAAGTGTTGGCAAGGATTTGGAGAAAAGAATCCTTGTATACTGTTGGTAGCAATATAAACTGGTGCAGCCACGGTGGAAAGCAGTACAGAGGCTTCTCAAAAATCTAAAAATAAAAATACCATATAACCCAGTATTTCCGTAACTGTGAATTTAACCAAAGAACACAAAAATCACTAATTCAAAAAGATATCTGCACCCCTATTTTTTTTAATGTGGGAAAATATGCATAACATAAAATTTACCATTTCAAGATTTTTAATTTACCCATTTAAGTCTTTGCAGTAGAAAATAATATTAATAATATTGATTTCTAAAAATGCCCATTGATTAAGCACTTACTATGTGCCAGACATTGCTCTCAATCCCTTACATGCACTCCCTTATTTAATCGTCCCAACAAAAGTATGAAGTTGGGACTTTTATTTTTTGTATCATTAATCTACAATTACATGAAGAACATTATGTTTACTAGGCTCCCCCCTTCACCAAGTCCCCCCACAAACCCCATTACAGACACTGTTCATCAGCATGGTAAGTTGCTGTAGAATCACTACTTGTCTTTTCTGCATTGCACAGCCCTCCCCGTGCCCCCACACACACATTATACATGCTAATCTTAATGCCCTCTTTCTTATTCCCCGCCCTTATTGCTCCCTTCCCACCCATCCTCCCCAGTCCCTTTCCCTTTGGTAACTGTTAGTCCATTCTTGGGTTCTGTGATTCTGCTGATGTTTTGTTCCTTCAGTTTTTTCTTTGTTCTTATATTCCACATATGAGTGAAATCATTTGGTACTTGTCTTCCTCCGCCTGGCTTATTTCACTGAGCATAATACCCTCTAGCTCAGCTCCATCCATGTTGTTGCAAATGGTAGGATTTGTTTTCTTCTTATGGATGAATAATATTCCATTGTGTATATGTACCACATCTTTATCCATTCATCTACTGATGGACACTTAGGTTGCTTCCATTTCTTGGCTATTGTAAATAGTGCTGCATAGGGGTCTGCACCCCTATTTTTTTAATTGAAGTATCACTGATATACAATTTTATGTTGGTTTCAAATATACAACACAGTGGATCCAACAGTTATCCCCGTATTATTAAATCCTCACTCCCACTAATGTGGTTACTATCTGTCAACATAGGAAGATGTTACAGAGTTACTGGCTGTATTCTCCATTTTGTACTACTATCCCAACTCATATTATGATTGAGAATTTTTGTGCCCCTTTCTCCCCCTCCCCCTCCCCACCCACACACCCAAACCCCACGCCCATGGTAACCATCAGTCACTTCTCAGTGTCTATGAGTC